GTCTCATCTTACTCTGTTTCTGCTTGTTGTAACAGGAAGCAGAGGGAGTTCTGGTGGTCACAGCCTTACCAGCCACACACCTGCATTCAGACCTGTGAGTGCGCTCAGGTTTTCTTTTAATCATCATTAAAGTCACTGCTTTACAGCTTCACAGATGAGTTTTCTTTGTGTTCTGCTCCATGCTTACTGAAGTGAGCACTGTAGAGGAAGGTAAGAATAGACTACATTAAACTTAATCAAACTTGAATCGTTCTATAACTGATCTGACCTTAATTATCTCTGTTTTTCCAACCACAGAGGAAGACTTAATGGCGATTGATGACAAATGTGTGGAAGCAGGTAAACCTTTACCTTCCATTTACTGTGTAATGTGCCTTTTATTCATCTTTTACACACAAACTAACTAACCACACAAAAACGTCTTTGCTTCTCTGTCTTTAACTTGTGTCTGTTTGTGTTTCCTGCCCCGATAGACGAGGAGGCATTTGATTCTGGTAGGTAAGTCTTTGCTGATGTAATCCGTTCTGTCCCTGAATTTGTTTCGTGCCCTTCAAAGGAAATTTTTGTTGTTGTTTCTTTTCCAAACGTTCCTGCTGCCTGATGGGGAAATGTCAGAGGAGCTCAGAGAAGGTGAGAAAAGCTTAAAGAATTGTGTTCTTATCTGCCTCACAAGAGTAAATTTATACATTTCTTTAATTTAATTTAATTAAAAGAGCAGACCTCCTGACTTGTTATGGAGATAGGTCACATGTTCTTACTTGGACTGATATTAAATCATATATTAAAACAATAAAATTCAATAGTGCAGGAGCCAGTATAGAAACACAAAATATGAGCATAACGGTCCTCTGTTTTATAATTGGTGTGTTGCATTTTAAGAAATGTAGCATTTGGTGTTTTTGTAGCTTATCGCCGGGGTTTCTCTTCTGCCGCAGACTTTTTTTTCTGTTAATCCAGCAGTGCATCATAAATCCCTGAAGTGCTGTTTAATTTGCAGAGGTAATTTAGACTTTCCAGTAATTTACATCTGGGAAATGGAGGCTGACGCAGTTGCTTTGGTTGATTTCAGCTCAAAATGATGCACTGTATTATTTTGCATGCTTTCTTTTTTTCATGTTTGACATTTTAGTGTGTAGGGCTTTTATTGGAGTCATTACATAAAAAATAATCAAGATTTTTACAAAAAGATGAACCTAGCATTAAATGGTAGATAAAAAGGAGACCTTTTCATATGCTCCAGCTTGCTTTGAGCAGCCATCTAGCCCATATGGTGATATGACCAGTGAAAGTTTACCCAAAATGCACTTTGAAATTATGCTTCTTTCTGTTCCTCCACTCTGACCTAAGGATATGACTCTCAGCCTGGGTGCAAGAGGTTTAAGTTGAATCCCGGACTAGCCCCCAAAAATGTTAGTTCTTACATCCATGGCTCAGAGAAACATTTGAGTAGCAAGTCTAAGAATTTTTAAATAATACAAAAATAATTTCTCCCAAAGAAAGCAAATAAGAAAAACTGAAGCAAACTCAAAACGCTTCATCAGTTTGATTGCTGTTGCTCCCAACTCACCAAAGCAAATTTCAAACAGCAACTAAAGCCAAAGGTTGATGCTGATAGAAGAGAGAGAAAGAGCGGCCCATAGCATAGCTGCATCTGGCTTTATATATGCAGCTGACCTTCAGATTATTAACAATGACAGAAAAAAGAAAAACATGGTAGTTAATGTGCTGGCTCAGCGAGGCACATGTAACAGTCACCGACACTAAACTGGTTTAGTTTTTGCGATTGAAAGATAGTTGAGTTTTGCGATTGAAAGTGTGGTATATCCCGTGATACTGCCTTCGCAGGTGTTTATAGGAAAAACAAATTAGGCCATAAATTGTGAGATTTATATTTCAATGTAAAACTGGTTTTAACAGAGGTACGAATTTTTCAACATAATATTTAATAGTAGCACTGGAAAAGCAAAGAAAATCAAGTGTAAGCATAAAACATTGACACAAAGCAGCTTGCAAAGTACCCCATAACTAGGGCTGGGTATCGTCACTGATTTCTAGAATCGATTCAATTCCGATTCACAAGGTCCCAAATCGATTCGATTCAATTCGATTTGATTTGATTTGATTCAATTCAATTTGATTTGAATCTGGGAAATTTTGACAGTCAGAAATATTATAATTCAGATCAGTACATTTACATATTTTTGTATCTATAAAAAGGAAGCTGAACCTCGTAAGACTTTATCACAGGTGTGAGCGTCACAGCAGATGCCTTTGTGTCAAAGTAGCTGAAGACAAAACACAGAAAAACATGAAGGTGATTTTCCTGGCCTGGGATTTTATAAAAATATTCTGCAGTACATCAAAAACAAAAGAAAACCATTAATCAACATATGAACATTACCTCTGAAGTTACAGTGGTTTTATTAGAGACACGGCTGAGCATTTTGCATAATTTTAGAAAGTTTAAATTTGTTCAGTATTGAACGGCAGAAATTAGGTTTTCTTTTCGGAAGTATGTAAAACGAAAAAAACCAGCGGTCAACAGCGCTGTAAACAACGGTAGACTTGTGCGTAACAAGCAAGCGAATAATGCAGAAAACATATTTTTAGATGGGAAACTGTTCTTGAAGTACAGAGAGAGAGAGAGATGTGCATGAAGTGTGATTTTATCGTGGTGGAAGCAAAACAGTAAGAGTGAATTCATGACGATGTTTATGTGAAGCGCTGTTTGGCTCTTCTTTTGCTGCTGGTTTGGTCAGTATTGTTTGGAGAGAGATAAAACTAACAGCTTTAGAATCAGTGCAAAAAGGGCGTAAACACAAAGTGCGGACCCGCCAAAACATCAGAATCAGTGAGCTGTCAGCTTTCAGCCCC